CTTATCATTTTGTAGGACATCAAGAAGGACTAGTTCCTTTATTCTTTGTTACTGCTTTAGACATTTTGTGAAGCTCTTTTTTTAAAGTTCAAGTTCCTTGCCTGGTTTAGGCCTGTGGTTTATAAATACATATGAAACTGAAAGCACAAATCTTTGTCTTAAAGGCAGCGTTAAGCCAGTGTTTTTTTGTTTAAAACATACTGAATGACATCGCTTCTTGTCCAGACTTGCGTTTTGCTCTGTTTCAGATTAACTATCTTCATCCGATGATATGTGAACAACATTCATGCTCACTGTGCATGTATATATTTTGTCAGGTTCTGTACTTGTGTAATTGTGAGGTTTGACGAATTAGAGAATGATATGTTATAGTCTAGAAGGCCAGTCAGAGAGCAATGTATAGCTGCACTTTTAAGTCCGTTTTAGTTCATCTATTGAAACATAACACCAGTGTTTCTAAACTAAAATGGGAACTTACAGTAAGTGTTTTAAAAACACTCTGTTTATCCAGGTCGAAAATGTAAGGGTGCTTTCACACCTGTAGATCGATTGTTATGTTCTGAAACAGGGATTAAAATTGTTACATTGTTGCTTTTTTATTTCTTGTTGCGTTTCACAAAGTTTCTAAACGGACCAAAATTGTTAAAACAAGTCACGTGCCAGTAAACTCTCCTCATAGTTGTCAGAGTTTGGTTTATTTCCCAGGATTCCACTAAGCGGTCATAAGTTATTTTAATTTATGACAATGTGAATTACGACTTTATAAGCAAAAAAGTTCGCTTTAATTTTGAATTGTGACACACAGACATCTTCACCAAATCACAGATCAGGCTTCAAAGGTTGTAAAATGTGTATCTGTTCTATATCAGAAGGCATTCGATAGGAATGCCAATTCGATAGGAAATGCAGTTTTACCTGTAGGAATGACATCCTATCCTACTCTTCATTCTCTCTTCTTATAGCTATATAGGCCTATTACTTAATAATAATAATAACAATACAATGTGATATAGCCTGGTTTGTTAGTTCGTTAGATCGTATCGCTTTCTCACTACAACCAAACCGCTTCTGAGTTTGTTTCAGCCCAGCTGAGGCAACCTCATTCAGCCGGTCTTGGACCGATTGTTTTGGTGCGAATCTGAGCGCATTTGTGGTTTGCACAAATTGAGCTAATGGGCAAATGTGCCAGGTTCCTAAATGAACGTCTCGGGTGAAAGGACGCTAAGAGAAGTGTGGACACTAGTAGTAGATGTAACAAAACATATTAGTGATTTGTTTAAAAATACATTTTTGTTCTGCTGGTTAAATTCCTTACATCCCAGTACAACTCATTGTAGGTTTCAATTTATTTATATGATCCTGGAAGTCATATTCAGACCAAAAATTTTGTCTAATCAAAATGTTTGGGTCTGAAGTAACATTTCCGTAGGCTGTCCTACGTGCCTGTGAGCATGTGTATTCACTTATCTCTGTATTCCCTGTTCAGCCAGACAGGATATGTCATTACCACTACTTATTTCATTTTTATGCACTTTGTTCTGTAACATTTTCTCACTGGTTAATGAGAGGTAATCTGACTCTCTTTCATCTTGTCACTTGAGCCTCTGCTCTGCCTGTGTTTTGGGCGAGGTGTGGCTTTGGATGGTGATTTATCAGGCGATGGCAGGATTTTAGCTTTTAAAGCTAGCTTGCTATTGCTAGCCTCTTTGAAATCAACTACCCTACCTTTAATGAGTGATTCACAAATTTCTTCAAAAACATATTATTTCAGGAATTAAACACACTGGGTTCTCTAGTATTTCATGTGTGACCTGATGAAGACCTTATAGGTCAAAACATTGTCCATTAAAATTTTTGAGATTTAAAGTGGTAGTGGCAGTACTGTTTACTTAAGTTTCTATTTTGTTTGGCTTGATCGATCAGTTGCCTTTTCTTAGATGTGTGTGCACTCTTTCCATTCAGAAGGGTTCATCCCTTCAGAGGGATCGGAGCATAGGGATGAGTGCTTCTGAACTCAACACAGTTTGTGACACCAAACTGTTTCACTGCTCTAAAAATCATATTCTGAAGTATCCATCAGGTGTATTTTTCCAAATCCTTCATTCCAAATGGTCTTTTTAAAGTGGCAAGTTTTGAGCACCTCAGTTTGGAATGACACTTCAATATGGCAGCAATGACTCCAAAGTTTTCTTCAGAATGTAATGCATATTTATATAGCGCATTTTACGTGTATAGCCATACACCCAAAGAGTTTCACAATCATGTAGAGGGTCTCTCCACACCACCATCAGTGTGCAGCATCCACTTTTATGATGCGATGGCAGCCACAGGACAATGACGCCATTGCGCTCGCCACACACCAGCTATTGGTGGAGTGGAGAGACCAAGATGGAGCCAATTCGGTGGATGGGGATGATTAGGAAGACATGGTGGGGAAGGGCCGATGGAGGGAATTTGGCCAGAACATTGGGGTAACACCCCTACTTTTTACAAAAAGTGCCAGGGGATTTTTAATGACCACAGAGAGTCAGGACCTCAGTTTAACATCTCATCCGAAAGACGGTGCTTACTGGACAGTGGGACTCGCACAGTTCATAGGTAACACTAACAGCACTTCCAACTCCAACCTAGTCTTCCTAAGTGATCTCCCATCAAGGTGCTGACCAGGCTTCAGTGAGTAACTGGTCCTGGGCTGCAGGGTGATATGGCTTTGGCTGTGAAACTTTCTTCAGAAGGTATTGTATCTAATTTGGAACGATTGTTCCAAGAGCCATAGATCCGTTTATTGCTAGATCGCATATAAACTAGTAGCCAATAAGGAAGCAAAGTAAAACTTTTTGGGTGAACTATCCATTTGACAATTATCAGTTAAATCGATTATCAGTTTCTATAACTGTATATATTTTTTCATAACTGTAGACTAAACTGTCTTGATACAGCTGGGATTTTAGTTTAGTTTCTGTTAATCATTTAGTCTTCTAAAGTATGTAAGTAAAGTATGTAAGTATCTGTATGTAAAATGGCCAATATCTGCAGAATAATCAGCTTGGCCAATATATTTTACTTTGTCATGCTCTAAACAACAGTTTGTGTTTTAGCATCTAGTTTATCGTCTTTGTTTTTTTTCACATCACTGACTCGCATCACATTTTGCATTGGCTTTAGCTTGAGATGTGGTTTGACATTTACAAGAAAGTGCCAGCGGTGATGTTTTGGCAGTCGAGATAGACGAACTTATCAGAAACAAACATGCTCCGACAGCTTTTAATGGCTGCGTCTGCCTTGGAAGCTTCCCGCTAGTTCTGTAAAGAGCTGGCAAGTGTGTCAGGAAAGACTCCAGACCCTTCAGACAGGAGCAGATAGGAAGTGCAGTTCCTGAGAACGAGAGGTTTCCAGAAAACTGCTCAAATTGCCAGAAATTAAACATCTATATACATTCAGGTCCGTCTATATGCATCTATATGCTTAACTTCAACTGAGCACCATGCCATCAAAACAAGACAAATATGAATAGTTCACAGTAAGAATTTGAACTTGAGAAGGTTTGTAAGCGGTACTGTGGAATCTAGGAATGCTTTAATGTGAATTACATCCAAAAATTGTGCCAGAGACATGCTTGTAGGTTGTAACTTTAGACTTCAAGCACTATGATGCTTTATTCTTAATTCAAAGTATGACAAGTGACACTGCAGTAACTTTGGAAACAAAACCAGTCGGATCACTTGCTTTGCTGCGGTACATAGATAAACTATTAGCTGCCAGTCAAACTGCAAACAAACAGTTGATCCCTGTTTGAAATATTACACCGTTTGACAGCATGCATTAGTGTTGCGGCCTTTATTTGGTTATAATTGGTCATCTGCAAATAGAGAAACCAACGTTTGACGCAACAGACCAGCCTGTTTTTTTTTTTTGTAGTTTTTTTTTTTTTTCTAATTGTGTCAAGGCAACTGTATTTTCACACATGCAGGAATTTTTCAGAAAGCAAGCATTTTTTTATAGCTACATTATTTAATAGAGTGCAATTATAAACTTAAACATTAAATTCTTTTTAATCCACGACTGTTTTTGACAAATATATTATTGTCACATCACACATCTGATAATGAATGACTCACTTGATAATGATTGCCTCAATAAGAGTAAATTCACTTGTTAATGTTGCTTTTGGATGACAGAAGTGTCCCCTTTTAAAGACCCCCCGGTAGGGCTGACAATATATAGTTTCAGCATCGATATCGCAATGTGCACATGCACAATATTCACATCGCAAGATCTGCAATGTTGAGTCTGAATTGTAGTTGACCAGAAGCCACAGAATTGTATTTAATTACTGTATTTATATGGAATTTATACAATTTACACAAAAAAAACTTTCTCACTTAGAATTTTTGTCTTGTTTCTAATCCAAATATCTACATTTTAAAGCGGAAATAAGAATTTTTTACTTATCCCAGTGGCAGATCATTTTGCTTGTTTTAAGGAAAAACTCTTTTTATTTTGACTTATTTTTTATTGAAGTTAAAAACAAAATATTTTTAATCGATCTAAGAATTTGTAGATATTTGAAAAATACGGAAAAAAAATTTCATTGTGGTTATTAAATGTATTAACTGAATACTGTTAAACTCCGTGGAAAACTGTCAAATTTAGCTATTCAAACTATCTTGTAAAATTGTATGTGTACCGTAATAATTTGCTGCAGAATATTTTAAATATGGCAGTATCAAATTTTAGCAGTTCATTCCGCTGTGGTGACCCCTGATTAATAAAAGGGACTAAGCCGAAAAAAAAAAAAAATCAATGAATGAATATTAATTTTTTTTTCAATATTGTGCAGCCATACTTCCCGGCATCCCATAAAAATCACCTCTGAAATTCACATTCCCATGCAAAGAAAGGAACATAAACATCCTCTTCATGCAGATTATGTCCAGTTCTTTATATGTAGTGCACAATGTAATTTTAAAAAGCTGACATTCATGATTTTCTCTTTTCAGCCGTCTGCATCTCAACAAGAAGACCCCAGACAAGGTGCCATACAGCAAACTAGCTGGTGTTTCGCTGCTGAAGCCACTCAAGGGTGTGGACCCCAATCTAATAAACAATCTCGAGACATTTTTTGAACTGGACTATCCCAAGGTACCGTCCTATAAGCTGTTTGATGTAGCTTGAGCTGCTGCTGACAGCCAAGTTTTTTTTATACGTGTTTGAAACTTCCAGAATTAACTCATTCTGACCTGCACTATATAACCTGCTAATACTTTGTGAGATGTTGTTTCTGTCAGTTTTTAGGCTAAATGTTAAGGTCTGGGATTCCAAAGCATCCAGAATTAATTTCAGTGTTTCTTCTCCCATTATATTTGGCACTCTTGAAAGTCAAGCTTTACTTTTTTTTCTTTATATAGCAACAGATCTCAACAGAAGTTATTTAATGTTCCTTTGCTACAGTACAGGTCTATACTTTTCTTTGTTAAACAAAATAACAATATGTTAGATTATTTACATGACGGCGTAGCATAATTGTCTCTACATTGACATTTGTCTTCTTTTTGTATATCACTCTTTGGATATATGGAATATAGGCCTTTTACAATAATCTATATCGACTTATTGCACAACACATGGCCATGACATCAGTCATTTTTGGTGATGCAATATAAATCATCCATACAATTAAAAAAAACAATATAATCAACTTTTAGCTGATTGCACAACCTCTTTATCTCTACTGGAGGTGTTAGTATAGTTAAAAACAAACACTATAATATATTTATATCTGGAATCTGTTACTAGTTCCATTTACTTTGCATGTTTTTGTTAACATTGATCATTATTATTTATTTGCTTAGGACAGAGATGCCCAAAGTAGGGCCCGCGGGCCAAAGTTGTCCCATTGTAACCTTTGATTTGGCCCACCATCCCATCTAAGAATGGATGGAGACGATTGGGGCGAATGCCTTTAACATGGAGATAGTCGTTTCAATTAAATGTTGTAAATAAACTGATATACTTTGGATAGAGATAGAGAACAATGCAGAAGACATTGTTAAGGCAAAAACAGGTGTAACTCAATTCCGTTATAAATGAGATTGTTTTTGTATTTACTGTAATAAGTTCATTATAAAATGTTAAAGAATTATGCCGTATTAGTTAATATAATGCAATGTTTTCTATTTATTTTTAATATTATTGAATAAATTTGTAATATATATATATATGGCAACTACATTTACCTTTGGCCCACTAGCCTCAATCAAGGTTGCTTTTTGGCCGTTCATAAGAAAATGTTAGGGCACCGCTGATTTAGGATATACATTTTCCCATTCTGATTCCAATGCCCAATTAATAAATAGTTTAAATTACTATAATTAAATTAAATATTCTTTAGAATAAAATATGATGTGTTCTTTGGAAGAGTGTACTTGCATTATGATGCTATTATATTGTCATTATTGCATAATGAGTGGCATAAAATGATCTTTAAATGACAATAATATCGTTTATCGCAATATATTTTGGTGTATCATACGACAAAAATAGATATTGTAACAGGCCTAATGGAATATATACTCCCACTAGCAGTGAGAGAAATATGATGCATCAACCAGATAGAAATCGAAAAATAATGTCAATGAATCACACTTATAGCCACAGTGCTGCTCTTAGAATAAAGTGTGACACTATAATCGCAACATGTATTCAGCCAGGGCCTGTTTGAACTAACAGCTATGTGCCTTGTGTTGACCGCAAGACTTTTAACAGGTACCACAAATACATATATACATATCTATCATCGAAAGTGCTCTTTATCTCACACATACTCTAATTAGCATCATTTACATCAATGTGTGTTTAAGTAGCCACACTATTGATTTTCAACCATTTGTTTCATTTGAATTCAAACTAAATATAACAGAAAAAGTGTGCTTTGATTTCAAAATACCAATTTTAATTGCCCATCTACTCCCATGTAAACCTAGGACAAACACTGCATTTTAAAACAATGATAACATTTAAGGTCGGAACTCTGGAACATAAGGGTAACTTTGCACTTTTAAATCTTAAATATTGTGGTTAAGTAGAACTTGTTTTAGCTATGTGATGCTGTTTATACTCGGGATTTAAAAATAACTCGCACCAAGCGCTAAATGCAGGTAAATCTGAAGAACTGGTGAGTATTCTAGCAATGTCAGTCACCAGTTGTAAAGGTAAATTCTTGAATTATTATGCAATGTAGGGCGAGGCAGGGCCGCAGTAGGTAGTGCTGTCGCCTTACAGGAAGAAGGTCGCTGGTTCGAACCTTGGCTCAGTTGGCGTTTCTGTGTGGAGTTTGCATGTTCTCCCTGCCTTCGCGTGGCTTTCCTCCGGGTGCTCCGGTTTCCCCCACAGTCCAAAGACATGCGGTACAGGACAGGTGAATTGGGTAGTCTAAATTGTCCGTAGTGTATGAGTGTGTGTGGATGTTTCCCAAAAATGGGTTGCAGCTGGAAGGGCATCCGCTGCGTAAAAACTTGCTGGATAAGTTGGTGGTTCATTCCGCTGTGGCGACCCCAGATTAATAAAAGGACTAAGCCGACAAGAAAATGAAATGATAATGCAATGTAGTGAGAATTACAGTCAGTTTTTTTTTTTATTTTTTATTTTTTTTTATAGAGACTTCTTCTGTTTTTGTATATGGTGGGATCATGTGCCCTGCTGTCAATTTAGGTTTCATTGTGCATATGTATGGCACTTTGATAAAACACAAGTGTATGAAGTTGTCCGTATCTGGCCATTTCAAAGGACATTATTTCGTGGGATAGCGAGAACAGATGTTAATAGCAAAGTACATCATCGACTTGCGGTTTTCATGCTTCAGGATGAGGTTTTTAAACAGTGGATCCACATCCGCCTAGAGTTCACGAGCATCACACAGTGTATGATGAACTGATGACTGCAACAAGAGAAATCGGCTTCTCAAACTGTGCGAGTGTATTGCAGTGTATTGCTGCCAAATGCACATTGTTTTGAGTTAAAATGCCTCTATTGGTGTTTATTCTTGTAAATACTGTTTGGCCTAAAGTGAAAGTTAACAGTTTGAGAGGGATTCTCTATTTATGTCCTCAAAGTGAGAGCAGCATAACTCCCTTGCTTTTTAGGAGAGTGTTTAATAGAGAAATAGCATCCCCAGATACACACAATAGTAAAATAAGATTTTAAAAAGCAGAGACGGCAACTGGCGCAGAAGGAATTTCTATCATCAGTTCCAATAAATAAATAATAAATGACTGTTTGGCTTGCAGTCAATAACATTAATAGTTTTTTTTTTCTTGAATGGTCTTGTAAATCTTATTAGTGACTGCAACATCCATATCACCCTGCAGCCCAAGACTGGTGGTTACTCACTAAAGACAAAAAGGACTGGTCAGTACCTGGATGGGAGACCACCAGGGAAAACTAGATTGCTGTTGAAGGTGGTGTTAATGAGACCAGCAGGGGACGCTCAACCTGCGGCCTATGTGGGTCCTAATGCCCCAGTATAGTGAAGGGGACGCTATACTGTCAGTGAGTGCTGTTTTTTCGGATGAGATGTTAAACCAAGGTCCTGACTCTCTCTGGTCATTAAAAATCCAAAAAATCAGTTGCCTGATCAGATTTCAGAGGTGCTGGATCTGACATGTATGCCCATACATGTTAAATGCGCTAGATAAACACACATTACGTTACATTACAAAGTAGTAAAAACTGCCTGTTTTGCAAAAAGAGAGAGCTGGTAAACAAATAATTTAGTTGAAAAATCTTTTTACGTCACTGGCATATATGGCAGAACCTTAGTTTTTGGACCTGTTTAAACTATTCATACCCTTTCTGTATGAATACGCATTAGCTTTTGCACACATCCTGTTAAAACCACCTACAGTCAGTAATGTCCGTTTTGTCAGATTTTGGGGCATCATGACTTCTACAATGGCTTCCCATCTCTCTAATTCATCCAACACATCCTGTGTTTTATTTAGTTCAGTTCCAACACATTTGATTCATTTCCTTGAATTTAGATTATCCATTTAAATGAATTAATTCAAGTCTTGGAAAGCTAATAAAAATGGTTTGATGAAAATCAGGGTAACCCTTTTGGCATTAGAATTGCCTTAATTCTTCACAGTGCTAGAAATATTGCTTAGAGATTTGTTACACAGTTGCTGGAGATATGACATCTTTACATCCATGATGTGAATCTCCAGTTCCAGCACTTCCTAAAGGCGCTCTGTTAGATTGATATCTGGTATCTGTGGAGGTCATTTGAGTTTAGAGGCTCACTCTCATAATCAAGAAACCAGCTTGAGATGATCTGAGCATTGTGACATGCCACATTATCTTACTATAAGTAGCGTCACAAGATCGGGTTCACTGTGGTCATAAAGGGATTGTCATAGTCACTCACATTTGACTGTGGTCAACAAATCATACTCAAATGGCCCAAAGTGTGCCAATAAAATCTTTTTGTTCCTCATTACACCACCAGTTGCCTGAATTGTTGGAGAAAGACGTGATGGATTCATGTTTTCATGTTATTAGGACCATATTCTGGCCTGACCATCCTCATGTCCCAGCAGAATTCAAGATTCTTCAGACCAGATGACCTTTCACCAGTCTTCTAATGTCCAGTTTTGTTGAGCCTTTGTGAATTGTTTGCTCTTATCAGCTGACAAGAGTGGTTTTCTTCTGCTGAAGATCATCAAAATTTGATGTGTTGTGTTCAGAAATGCTCTTCTGCAGATCTCGGTTGTACTGAATGATTATTTAATGCAAGTTTCAGCATGTGCACAGTGTTAATATTGTGAAAAATATTTGAGAAATACAGCACAGCGTCAAAGAGAACAAAATCATCGCTTCCTGATCAACTGGCACCAACTATCAAAAAGAAAAAATAGATTTGCTGTGTTAGGAGAAGCCGATGTGGGCTTTTTTTTCCTTATTGAATAAATTACTTGCATCTCAGAAGACGAAACTTAATGAAAGTGCAGTGGCTTTTAAAAGGTCATGAAATCCCCCTCTTTCAGTTTAAGTCTACCTCAGAATTAAAAAAAAAAAAACATCATAATGGGCATGGAACGCAGCGAGCAGAGGGAGGAGTGGGCGTGGCCTACAGAGCAGGGGAA